CCAGGGTCCTGGGATCGAGCCCCGCATTGGGCTCCCTGCTGTGCGGGGAGTCTGCTTCTCCAGCTCCCTCTGCCCCTCCCTCCACTCATGCTCTCTCTCTTGCTCTCTCTCAAATGAATAAATAAAATCTTAAAGAAAAAGAATGAAATCTTGCCATTTGCAATGACATGGATGGAACTAGAGGGTATTATGCTAATCGAAATAAGTCAGTCAGAGAAAGATAAATACCACATGATTGCACTCATATGTGGAATTTAAGAAACAAAACAGATGAACATAGGGGAAGGGAAGGAAAAATAAAATAAGATGAAAATTGAGGGGGAGGCAAACCATAAGAGACGCTGAACTCTAGGAAACAAACTGAAGGTAGCTGGAGGGGAAGTGGATGGGGGATGGGGTAACTGGGTTATGGGCATTAAGGAAGGCACTTGATGGAATGAGCACTGGGTATTATATGCAATTGATGAATCACTAAATTCTACTCTGAAACTAATAGGAAAAAATACATATAATGGAAGCATACCATAAAAAAAAAGAAGAGGGTGCCCATGGGGCAGAAAATCTGAGAAACAAAACCTCTTCCCTGCTACCAATTTAGTAGGAATGGAGTGAAGGGTGGATCTTTTAGATAGTCATTGACTTGGGAATTTATGTGTCTGTGTGTTTGCGGGGATATCAGTGTGATTTCACATAGATCTCAAGAGGAAGGGAGCCCCCATCTGGCATTTGGGGTTACGATGTTAAACAGTAAGCTCGGTATATTCACTTAGTAAACTGAAAAGCGCTGATGATGGTGATGAAGGAGATGATGAAGTGTGGTGACAGAGCTGTGTCCGTCTCCCCCGCATTCAGGAGCCTTGGTGCCGGACTGGCCCCTGCAGTCCTCTCCACGGAGGGATGCTCTAGGACAGGGCTCAGGAAAGCTCTGTCACTGGAAGGCTGCTGCTGAGGACATTGCTTGGCACTGTGTGTTGACAAGGCAAGCCAGGATGAAGAAGTACATCCCCATAGGTGCAGAGGAGAATGGATCGACTCCAGGGCACAGACTTCTAATGGCGGTGCTTTCCAAGGACCCGGAGCACCCAGGATGGCTCTCTCCTTTCTCCCTTTCTGGGTGACCGCAGTGTAGGCTGGCCCTGCCCCTGAGCGGGCTCACCCATGCCTTCCTTCTGCCTGGCACCCTTCCACCCTGCTGACAGCAGCAGGCTGAAGCTGTGGTCCCTGGGCGGCTGGGGCAGAGGCTCCGCTAGGGGGGCTGGCCCTGGGATATGGATCCAGGCTGCTTAGTCAGAAGCCACCGAGGTGTTAACTGACTTAGGAAAGGGGAGCTGGGCCAGGAATTAAAATCCAGCTTCCTAGAGTGCTCTGCTTTGGAGGTGGGGGCTCAGGCCTCAGAAAATAGTACCGTACTACCTGCTGTTTCTCATCTGAACCTTCCTGGTGCGTATATTCCTTGGGTGCTTCATGGGGACAAACAGCTTGGGTTCAAATCTCATTTTCTAGCTGATTGTATGGCCTGAGAGAAGTTACTAACCTCTCCATGCCTCGGTTTCCTCATCTGTAAAGTGGCAATGAGGCCATTGTGCTCCTGAGTTTATCCAGGTAAACACAGTCGGTTAACGGCTAGCACGGCTGTTGCTTCTCCAGCTGAAGTCCGGCTTCTCCAGCAACCTGACACTCTCAGTGTTCAATCTTTTTTCCTCAACAAGAGCCCTGTCATGGTGGGTAGCACCCCTATCCATCCAGCTGAGCAAGTCACAAACCGAGAGGTCACCCCTGACACCCCCATCCTCTCCCCCCAAACCATCACTAAGGCTTGTCAACCCTACTACCTTACTGACTTCTACCAAAGTTACCCAATTTCCTGAAAATCTCCCAGATCTCTTCTCTCCTCTATAACCTCTCACCAGGACTAGCACAGTAAGGCCCCTAACTGCAGCCACTTCAGCTCCCTACTAACCCGTTTCCACCCTGCTGCCAAAGACATGCTTTGAAATGCAGATCTGACTCGTTTACCCTCTCCCTGGGCTCTCCGTGCTGAAACCTCAAAATGACATTCCACTCTTCTTGGGGTTAAAACCAAACTCCTAACACCATGCAGACTGCATATGTTAGAGTGTTTTTGGCCACAAGGGTCAGAAAGCCCTATCAAAATTGGCTTGAAATACAAGGTGATTTATTAGCTCCTTCAGAGGTAACTGGGGTAGTTCAGGCTTCAGGCATTGCATGATCAGGGCTCTAGCACCATATTCTGCTATTCTCTCAGCTCTGCCTTCCTTCCTAGATGTCAGCTGCATCCACAGCCCAGCTTCCTTTCAACCGGCCTCAAGTGGGGCACTTCTAGAGAAAAACAAAACAAAACAAAACAAAACTATGCCCAGCCATGAGATAAAATTCATTCCCTTCAGCCTGAGCCAACTGAGACCATGTGCTCATTCCCAACCAAAAAATTCCTAGTGGTATGCCACGCATCGAGTCTTTCGGTTCTCTGTCCCTGGTGGGAAATGAGTCCTTTACTATAAACACACATTGAAACCATGCTAAAAGATACCACTGGTTTTATTTTAATAATGCTCAACTCTGAAAAACATGAGAACTAACCATCAACCTTAAAGCTGCCCATTGTCCTTGATGATGGATCTGGGACTAGAGGTGCCCATGGGAACGACCTCATGATAATGGGCAGGAAGAGCAAGGTGCTGGAGGATGGATGAGGGAGGAAGGCAAGAGACAAGGGGCTTGCTGGCCTTGTCAGAGATGGACTTTGGATGGTGGAGTGGAAAAGGTAAGAAAATGGTGCTGTAGCATCTTCTGTGCCCTGAGATTGCATTCTTAATCTTCTCCTTGTTCTCTTTCTGAAAATGGACTTTGCCACCAAAGGAACTGAAAGCAGGGACTCAACAACTATTTGTACACCCGTGTTCATAGTAGCATAAGTCATGATAGCCAAAAGAGGGCAACAACCCAAATGTCCACTGATGGACGAATGGCTAAACAAAATGTGGTCTATACACAAAATGGAATATTATTCGTCCTTAAAAGGGAATGACATTCTGATGCATGTGTCTATGTGGATGAGCCTTAAAGATATTCTAAGTGAAATAAGCCAGACACAAAAGAACAAATACCGTATAATTCCAGTTATATAAGACTCCTAGAATAGCCAGTTGGTACAGACAGAACGTAGAATAGTGGTGACGGGGCCTGGGGGTGGGGGTACAGAATGGAGACTTACGTGTAGAATTTCAGTATACGGGATGATAAAGAAGTTCCAAAGATGGATGGTGGGGAAATTTATACAACAAGGTGAATGTACTTCATGCCACTGAATTGTACAGTTAAAAAATGGTTAAAATGGTAAGTTTTATGTTATATATATTCTACCACAATAAAAAAATAAGTACTCAGTTCATCTTCCAGGCATTGAGGGCACAACAGAGGGGTGACAGGAAATGCTCAAAGAATGATGGCAGATTGATTGGTCTGTCTGGATAAAAGACATCTTTAGTGATATACTTTCATTTTGGCCCTGCTGGGGAAGAAAAATTTTTCTCTATCTTTCAGGGTTTTTTCTTTTTGGCTGGACTATGAATTAAATTGACATGAGAAAGATTAGCAGGAGAAAATCAAATTTAAATACATACTAAGGGGCTTCATAGGAATATGAGGCCTGTAAGCAGTCAGGCAATTGAGGCTTATACGGTACCTGGAGCTAAGGAGAAGTGGGTAGGGGTCTGGGATCACAAAGGGAAGGAAGACAATTCACAGCAAGATGAAAAAGAGTAAATGTTCGGTAAATAAATGTTTGCTGCGCCATCCAGAAACAGTGGGACACGGAGAGGAATTTTAACAAACAGACTTTGCTAAGTTCCTCCCCGTCTGCCACCCTTAGTTCATATTATGCTCTGGTTATCTAGGGTGATAACCTCCCTTCCTGGAGAAGGTCCTCCATCTAAATTGTTGTAGGCAGTGAGAGGAAGGTCGAAGGTTCTTCCTGAGCCTTCTGTTTCTTAAAAATAATCAGCCTACAATAATCCACGTGCCGAAGAGACACATTTTGGGGTGGCGAATTCTGTCCCCTACCGTCCCCTGACGATGCTAACTGTGACGACGAGGAGGAGGCTCGAGCCTGCCAGGGACAGAGCCGTGAGGCAGCCGTGTGTGAGAGCCTGCCCCTCCCAGTCCTGCAGCAAGTCCCCCCAGTCCCACAGGCGCTGTGTGAGGGGAGTGGTGCCTAATTCTATTCTCTGCAGGGTGGACCCACAGAGGGAGGGGAGGTGGAGAGGGGAATTTCCTTCTGTCAGGCAGGAAAATAGCTTGAGGAAACAGAGCTCTCCTGTTCTTTGAATGGAAAACGTCTCTTTCCGACCTCATTTTAGAGAGCTGCCCCTGCCCACCTCGCATTGCCAGAGGGATGATGGGACAGCTGTCACCAGTTGGGTCTGACTCATTAGTTTATCATCTCTCCCCACCCCTCTCCCGAACCCCCTCCCTCCAAACCCACCCACCCTGAAAATGCCTCAGCACCGTGGACTATTTTAAGAGCTGAATTCCCTGTCGGCATGGCAACTTCCTGGCTATACCTCTCGTCATAGCTGCCTAGATGGAAGAGAAGCCACCTTTCACCAGGGCTCCAGCCAGCCTGCAGCGGAGAGGCTTCGCGGATCAGACGTGGCCAGAGGGTGGACATCGAGTGCAGGTCCCAGATCCTTCTTTGTGCATTTGCCTGTTTTACAGCCTGTTAGCAATGCAAAACCATTCTTAGCTGACCAGCCAGACAACAACGGGCACCCCGCCAGAATAGGCCCAAGGACCATAGTTTACCCACCCCCTGCTGTAGGACAAGAACAGCAGGTGCTCACACTTGCTGGGTTTCTCATTGTGGAAGTTTGAAAGATTTGGAAGGGTACGGGGGCGACATGAGTAAAAGATGGGAAGGGAGTTATGGAAGAAGGACAATGGGATTCATTCATTTTTAAAAATGTCCCCCAAATATCTACATTTTATTATTATACTTTAGAGGTTTATTTATAGTCTTCTTGTGCTTCGAAATGAACGTCTTAAGACTATGCCATCTTTACCACATCCCAAATAAGGACTGAGGCTTATAATCTATTAGTTCCTTTTGTAGAAAATGGTGTTTATTTTTTAATCTCTCATCATTCTTCACAAAGACCAGATTTTCTTCAGATATGCTGGATTTTTTTTTCTTTTTTGCCTAAATTTTTTTAGAAAAAAAATTTATTTTATTTTATTTTTTTAAAGATTTTATTTATTTGACAGAGAGAGACACAGTGAGAGAGGGAACACAAGCAGGGGGAGTGGGAGAGGGAGAAGCAGGCTTCCCACGGAGCAGGGAGCCCCATGCGGGGCTCGATCCCAGGACCCTGGGATCGTGACCTGAGCCGAAGGCAGACACTTAACGACTGAGCCACCCAGATGCCCCCGAAAAAAAAATTTTTTTAAATTCACTTCAGGAGCACCTGGTTGGCTCAGCTGGTGGAGCATGCAGCTCTTGATCTCAGGGTCGTGAGTTCGAGCCCCACAGTGGACATAGAGATTACTTTTAAAAATTTTAATTTACTTTAAATTTTTAATTTACTTAGAAATTTTTGCTCATTATAAGACATTTTAAGCATACTCAGAAAGAATAATAAAATGAACTACATGCTGCCATGTACCTGACATTACTGGTTTATTTTTAAAGGGTATTTCCATGTAAATTAAAGAAATGGTTTGTATTTTCTTAAAACATGGATTAAAAGGGGGAAAACCATTTGCAAATATAGTTGAATAGAATCCAGTTCTAGGCCCTGCCTGAAAGTGATTGGCGAGGGGAGGGGTAGGAGGAACATCTGTAGGAAAGAAAAGGGGATCACTCTTGGATGGTTACCATGGAAACCACTAGGTTAAGATGGTTGAGTTTGTTTATGGGGCAGTGAGGTTCCTGCTAATGGAGTCTGGGTCAGAGCTGTAGGAGAAATCCTTAGGCTGGTCCCTAAGGATATCTTGCTGCCTCTGAAACTCCCTTCCACCCCCCCAGTACTGTTCTCAGTATCCTCACATTGAGGATACTTTCATTCTGAATTTCTAGGGTTTGATTAAAACAGAGGCACTTTGGTGTTTCCTTCCTCGATTTTAGGGCTTGCTTTTTGTATTGAGGAAGCCAGAGTCAAAATGTTTGTTGCATACTCACTTTGAGGAGTTCTGAGATTTGATAGCAGACCACCGGAGTCCTGTTTACAGCAATAGCACGCCAGGGGGAGGGGGGGTACCTCCGTGGAAGAAAGTCCTGGAAGGACAGGTGGAGGTCTTAGGGTATTGACCCCCACACTACAGTGCGGGAAATATACTCCCTAAGAGCAGGGAATCCAGCCTAAGCCTTGATACTCAGAGGCTCTGGATTCTTTCCCGCTTCGGAAGGAACTTGACCCCAACGTAGAATATCCATCATTCGCCAATGTCCAGGGCTGCTTTAGACACCAGATTATTTGTTATGGGGCATACCAGTAGGAAGTGCAACTTTGGCATCGTGCTCCTTGGACTTGGGTCCAAGCCGCAGCACGTATTATTTCTACCGTGACAGACTCTCTCTGTCACCTACTAATGGGCTTGGTGGGGGAAACGAATACACAAGATAAACGGCAGGCACAGAGGCAGAAGCAGGCTGGAATTACTCATCCAGAGGTAAACATGAGCAGAGGGACAGACAGAAGGCCGCCGAAAACCGAGACAGATCCCCACAGGGACGGGCTTCCAGCGCTGGGATCCCTAGACTCCATCGAGGTCTTACCCTAGTTGGGCCTCCTGCAGCTCCCGAGGGAAAAGGCTGCGCAGACGAGGCACGGCCAGCAGGGGGCGCGCGGGCCCGGGATCTCGGGAATCCGGGGCTGCGGGAGGGAAAGGGGCGGCGCGGTTGGGGGTGCGGGGTGGGGTGTGCAGGCAGGGCGGGCTCAATACCCGCTCTCCCCGCAGGGTGTTAGCTAGCAAACCGCAAGGACAGGTACCTCCTGGGCAGCTGCTTTACCTGTCCGTATCTCCCCACGAAATCAGAAGTTCCTTGAGGGTAGCGACTGTTTTCGTCCCTTACTTCCTCAACTGCACGCGTCCCTTGTCCCCATCCTAGGTTTGCTGAGCAGAGTCAAAGGATGCATCCTCACTCTGGAAGGCGGGAAGGGAGGACCAAGAGGAGGGATGGGAACGGCTGTAGCGGAGCTTTGAGGCAGCTGTTCTGGAAAGGAGTGAGAGATGTTAGATTGTCAGCAGGGTGGAGCCCAATCATTGGCTGGGGGTAGGTGGGGTGGGGTTTACCCTAGAAAACGTTGGGGGTAGAGCCTATAGGACAATCTACAATTTGGGGAAGAAATACGGCTGTGGTTCTCAAACTTCTTGATCTCTGGACTCCTTTATACTCATAAATATTATTGAAGACTTCAAAGAGCCTTTTATTTATGTGGGGTCAAATTTACCATATTAGAAATTAAAACTGAAAATTTAAAAACACTTATTTACTTAAAATTACAATATTAAACCTACCACATCAACATAATTTTAAAAATAACTGTATTTTCCAAAACCAAACAAAAAAATGTTAGTGAGAAGTGTGGCACCATTTTACATTCCTGCAATTTTTAAAAAATGTTTAGCTTAATAAAAGACAGATGGAGTCTCATATCTGCTTTTGGACTCACTCTGTTGTGATATCAGACCGAGTTTTCCCAAAGCACATAGCTTCATATGGTCATGAGAAGATGAGAGGGGAAAAAGGCAAATAACATTTTATTATGAAAATAGTTTTAACCTTGTGGACCCCCTGCCCATTTTGATATTAAATAGAGTATTAACTGCATACAGTGTTATTTTTGGATAAGAATGGAAAGATTTTTTGTAAAACAAAGGTTGCCTTTGGTGAGGGCTGAGGGCTGAGGGCCAGGCTGCCTTGGAATTCACCCACTGGCAAAGATGCGGCCTCCATGGCCAGTGGTACCAGGAAGCAGGGCCTCAGCTGGTGTAGACACATGCCTGTTTATATGTCCACTCACATCCTATGGGTGTTAGAACTCTATTGCAGCTGACATTTTGCCTGCTGTTCCGTGTTGAGCTGGCAGAAGGGTGGCCAGACTCCCTCCCTTGAGGCCAAAAGCATTTTGTGGCTTCTTATCAATTCAAAAAGATTTCAAAACAATGCCCCACTCACCTCACACCTGTTAGAATCGCTGTCATCACAAAGATAAGAGACACTGAATCACTATATTGTACACGTGAAACTAATATTACACTGAATGTTAACGGGAATGTAAGTAAAAACTTAAAAAAAAAGATAAGAGATAATAAGTGTTGGCAGAAGATACGAAGAAAAAGGACCGCTTGTGCACGGTTGGTGGGATATAAATTGGTGCAGCCACTGTGGAAAACAGTATGGAGGGTCCTCAAAAAATCAGAAGTAGAATCACCACATGATCCAGCAATCTCCCTTCTGGATGTACATCCAAAGGAAATGAAAGCAGGACCTCAAAGAAATATATGCCTTCCCATATTCTTTGCAGCATTATTCACAACAGCCAAGGTATGGAAACAACCTAAGTATTGAGCAACAGATAAACGGATATATATATATATACACACACACACACACACACACACACACACACACACACTGGAATATTACTCAGTTACAAGAAAGAAGGAAATAAGACAAATACTGTATGCTATCACTTACATATGTGAGGTCTAAAAAAGCCAAATGCATAGAAACAGAGTAGAATGGTGGTAACCAGGAGCTGGGGGTAGGGGAAATGGGGAGATGTTGGTCAAAGGGAACAAACTTTCAGCCATAAGATGAGTAAGTTCTGGGGATCTAATGTACAATAGGGTGATTATAGTTAATAATACTGTATTGTATACTTGAAAGTTGCTAGGAGAGTAGATCTTAAATGTTCTCGCCACCAAAAAAAAAAAAATATATATATATCTATCTATCATTATGAGACGTAATGGAGGTATTAGCTAATGCCATGGTGGTAGCATTATATACATCAGCGTTTCAAATCAACACATTGCACATCTTAATGTTATATGTCAGTTACATCCCAGTAAAGCTGGGGGAAAAAAATAACACAATGGCCCCAGCCTCTCCATGGCCCCAGGCCTGCTCTGGAGGTCTGTGCAGAATGCCCCAGTTTGAATGAAGAGGCAATGTGCGGAGATTTGCAGAGTCGAGTGAGAGATGAGGAAAGTTCCTTTCCAGTTAATTCCCTCCAAGGACACCTACTGTGAATGATTACCCTAATCATCTGTGGAATGGCATAAGAATACTGATTCCTGGTCTCACGGCAGATCAACCAGGGATAGAGGCTAGATTTTAAAGCTTCAGGCCCATTCTCAACCCTCCTCTAGCCCTGTCTACCAACTCTAAAGACCGTCCGTTCTTTGGCACCTTGCAATCATTTGGGGCACTTATTTAAGATTTTGAATTCCCCAGGCCTAATCCCTAGAAAGCCTGGTACCCAAGCTTTGGTAGATCTGGGCTGGGCACCAGAGCACCTTGGGCACCAGCAGCCCAGGTCATTCTGATATAAACGACCCAGGGCCACCCTCTGCCTCCAGGTTGTCGAAGCCCTGTGTGTTACAGTCTGTGTGTCACTGAGAGATTTTAGGGCCCCCCACTCAGATCACCCTCAGCCTTACTTCCTTATCCTTTGAACAATCACACCCTTTCCTGGGGGTCTAAATTTGAATTCCAGGGTTGACAAATCTCATTTGATGCAGGTGACCATCTTCCTCCCCAGTCCCAGAACTACACCTTCCCCGAAGATCCCCATCTTCTCAAACTCCATCCGGGCTCGGGCCCAAGCACTGTCTACACTATGTAACCCCGCCCGCACACCTACCTCCACACTTCGAATCTAGGCGTGGGGCAATGTGTTTGCAGATGGACACACATCCATCTTTCAGAAGAGCTCAGCTAAAAGTGCAGCAGGCAAAAACAAAAACAAAAACAAAACCCAAAACACCACTCAGCTTTCTTCACACCAGGAGCCCGGCTTCTGCTTCTCCTCCCCGCCCCCCCCCCCCGCCCCCGTACCCTTGCTATAGAGGATACTTTAGTCCCATCATCACAGAAGTAGCTGCTCCTCCCCCTCCCCAGGCCCTGCGTTTGAAGGGCTTCCTGTCAGCCGGCTCACTTCCTAGCAGGACTCCAGGACCCTGGCTCCCTAGGGATAGTCCATGGGTCCCTGGAATCTGCTCGGCAGCCAGCTGACCTCATCCTCTGCTTTGCCTCTGGATTCACATTTACTTTGCGTGGCTCACGTTTATGAAATTAACTCATTTCATGAATTGCGTAAAGCATCGAGTTGTGATGAGTGGATTTTTTTCTCAGTTGTGTCTAAACACGCACAAGCAGTCATGGAACTGGTTTTGTGGTGTCCTTAGAAATCCCTGCCCAGCATCATTCATTTTCTGCTGTCGTCTGAGTGCTATGGGAACCATCCACGAAATCTGGAGCTCTTCAACTGTCAGCTTCGAAGACTCGGATTCTGGGAGAGACGTGGTGAAAATGATGAATGCACACAAAGCGTGGCTATCTCCCAATTTGGGACACCCTGGCTGCTCCTGGGCCGGTCACAGCCGAATTTCTGGGGGTGGGCCTATGCTTCCCCAGGGATTGTAACTGGCAGCCAGACTGAGGAGCACCACCCCACTCTTGGAAACTTCTTCCCTTCTGCACTAAGGGGTTTGTCACCAGCTAGACCCCAAGACCTGACCTTTGCTGCTCACCTGCTTGTATCCACTGACCTTTGTCCCACATTTTTCCTTAAGCTCTTCTTTCCAACTTTATCTCTTCACTCAGGCAAAAGACCCAAGGGGCCTAGGATCCCACGATGGAAGCCATGGAAACAAAAACTACCCCTCAAGCACTAACAGCTGCCCAGACAGAGAATCCCAGCCGGCCCCGTACCACCCAGTTTGAACTTAACTCCTCACTCACACCTGTGCAGATGGACCTTGGAGGGACCCATAGAATGACTGACAGTTACCTTAACCTCATTATAATACTAAAATCTTCACCCAAGGAGGAGAGCACCTTAAGGCCTCTCCTTATGGCACATGGCAGCACCTCATACCCACCTCTAGGGATGATGATGAGGCTCCCCTTTCTAAATGTTCATCCTAACCTTAAATAAAAGGGACCCGTTCATTCTTGCTTGGGGAGTCATGGCTCTGGAAGTTATTCCCTGTGAGCTCCTTATTTGCTGTAAATCAAGTCTCCTTTGTGCAACAACTCACCTGGTAATAATATCTGTCTGTGACTCAGCAAGGAGTGAACTCACGTTAGTTCAGTTACAGGGTGACTTGGTTTGCAAGTCATCCAAAAGAAGTTGGTGTCATCCAAGGGGGGAAAAAATCATCAGAATGAAGTCCTTGAGGGAGCTCAGGACATACCACCCCAAATAGGCTGCTTTGGTATATTGATTCTTTTGAGCTGAAGGCACTTGAAAAAACAGCAGATGCAGGGAGAGGCTCTCTCGGAACTGCCCTCCTCTGCCTAAAGACAGTGCCTGCAAAAGGAACTCGATTGTCCTAAATCCCCAACCTGGGAGTTTCATCCACCGGGGAAGACTGACTCCTATCCCAGGAGAGGAGACTTCGAGTCCACACCACCCCCAGACAAACGTTGTCACACCCTCATACCTCCCGTCTGCTCTTCTGAAGGCCCATTCATCTTTCCCCAAAGCATTTACTCTCCCCTAAGTGACCTGCATCTCCCTCTCCTTCTCTATTCAGATGGTATATAAGCTCTCAAGTCTCATCTGTTTTTCAGGTGTTCGCTTTTTTTCCCGCTGTGATGCCCTTGTCCACGTAATATTAAAAATTAATACATGTGTATATCTTTTCTCCTGTTCATTGTCTGCTGTCAATTTATCTCATAGACCCAGCTATCGAATCTAGGAGGGTGGAGGGACAGTCTTTCCTCTCCTACATCCTCATTCATTCTTTCTTTCTTTCATCAGATATATATTGAGCACCTACCTTGCCAAGTTGTACGCTAAGTGTTAGAGATACTAGGTTGAAAATGAAATAAAGATCAGGCCTTAGGAGGTATTGTGGAGGGACCAGACGTTAAACCAGCCCTGGCAAGGAGAGCTCAGCTTGTTCCCCGGGTTCCTGGCCCATCCTGGTGGACTGAGGAAAGGAGGGCTCTGTGAGTTACAAAGGATATTTTTGGGAAAAAGTATTCATCCATGGCAATTTCTCAGCACCTCTGGGAAGGGCAATTGCAGGGACAACACAGGTTCTATGTCCCATGGGTGCCAACATTTTTAAAGCACAGGTTCTTAATTTCTTCATATTATGCTTTATATGCTCTGTGGGACGCACTGCTATTACAGATCTTCCTCGACGTAAGATGGGATGAAGTCCCAATAAACCCATCATAAGTTGAAAATATCATAAGTCAAAAACGCATGTGATACAACTAGCCTATCTAACTTCACAGCTTAGCCTAGCCTGCCTTAAATGTGCTCAGAACACTTACATGAGCCTACGGTTGGGCAAAATCATCTAACAGAAAGCTAACTTTATAATAAACTGTTGGATATCTCATGCAATGTATTGAACACTGTCCTGACAGTGAGAAACTGCATGGTTGGATGGGTGCTGAGTAAATGTAAGGGCCGTAAGTTTAAGTGTAAGTGTATGGGCCGTTGACCCTCTCGCTGACCCGGAGCTGCGGCGGAGAGTTGTGCCGAATATCACCAGCCTGGGAAAAGATCCAAATTCAAGATTCCATGTATGGTTTCAACTGAATCTATATCACTTTGGCACCATCGTAAAATCGAAAGTTCCTAAGTCGAACCATCCTAAGGAGGGGGCCATCTGTACTCCCATCTTACAGACAAGGAAACTGAAACGCAGAGAGAGGAATTCACTTGTCTACACACCTCAGGTCTGTCGGATTTAGAGCCCTTCTTGTAAGAGCTAATCTTTTTTTTTTTTTAAGATTTTATTTATTTGAGAGAGAGTGAGCGGACAGAAAGAGTGCACGAGTGGGGCGGGGGGGAGGAGCAGACTCCCGCTGAGCAGGGAGCCCTACACGGGACTCTGGGGACTCGATCCCAGGACCCTGGGATCAGGACCTGAGCCAAAGGCAGAGTGTGCCACCCAGGCGCCCCTGTAAGAGCTAATCTAGAGAGATGGGCTTCAGCGAAGGAGCCAGGTTTCAGGTGCGACCAGCAGAGCTGCTAGCTGGGGCCTGTCTGTGTTGGCAGTGGTGGGAGGGGGCTTCGGAGCCAGGGTGGGAGGTGGTGCTGGTGGCCTCAGCAGTCCTGGTGGGCAGCCAGCGGTCACCTCATGGCATAATGGTTGACACTTACTGGGCACTTATCATGGGCCGGACACCACCTAAGTAACTAGTATGGATGAACTTAAATTTGATAGTTACAATTCCCATTTTTACAGATTAGGAAACTGAGGCCCAGAGAGGTCAGATAACTGTTTTCCTAGGTCACATGTCTGATAAATATGGAGCCAGGATGCGAGGCCAGGCGTGTGGACTGCTGGGCTTGTGTGCTTCAGAACTGTGCTCTTCTGGGGGGTGTGCGGGACGTAATATCCTGAGGTGTGCTTCGTCTATGGGTCCTGCACCCCAGGAAGGGAGAGGGCAAGCGTGACAGATTGCAAACGTGGCTACAGGACTCTGTGGCGCCTTCCTTCACTCTGTGGGCATGCTTGGGGAAGAAGCCGGGGCAGGCGAGCTTGCCGGATGAGACATGCAGGGCCTAGTGACCCTTCGCTCCAGCGGAGCCTGCTCACCACCAGGTGTGAGTGAGGCCGTCCTGAGCTATCCAGTGACCTGCTAGCTCACCACAGACACATAAGTGAGCCCAGCAGAGCCTGTCTAGAAAGCACCCCCCTGATCCACAGAGCCATGAGTAAATAAATACATGTTTCTTGTTCGAAGCCACTGGGTGGCTTGTTATGTAGCAGTAAATACAGCAAGAAATACCTCGAGGAGAAGGAAGATACGAGGTTAGAGGAATTCCCACCAGGCAGGATGGATACGTAGAAATCCTTCAGGCAGGGGAAAGAGATGCAGAGGAAAATGACAGGGGAGAACCGGCCTGGGACCCTCAGGACCCAGCGCCCTCTCCTCTTCTGGCTTCCACCAGGTGAAGGAATGGCAGTACTTTTCTGGAAAGAAATCACAGATGGTCAGTGAGGAAGCTGAAAGCAGGAGTACTCGGCCGCCTTTGGGAAGGCAGTCCCGGAGCAGTGAGAGGTGGCTGCCTCTTCGCAGATGCTCTGTTGCCTGTGGGCAGAGGGAGGACCTGAGAGAGCCCCCTCCACTCTCCCTGGGGTCCTGTGCTCCCTCTGGGGTAGCAGGCATCCAGACAGTAAGCTCTCCGAGCCTAAACTCAAGCAGCCGCGCGAGAGCGAAGAGTGGACAGAGGGGAGAAATGTTGAGGATGTACCAGGGACAGGAAAAGCTGGAGCCAACGGATCTGGAGGGACCGGCCACTGGGAGAGGGTTGGCCTAAAATAACACCCCTGTTCAGAGTACAAACGGATGCCGGGCAACAAACAATACCGAGGGGAAGAGTAAATGATACTTACTAAATGTCCTCACCATCTAAAATGTACATATTATGGTACAATCATGTCTTTTTGGTCCTGACGTTGGTAATTTTTTGACACAGCCTGCCATCTGCCCTTGTTTTGAAGAGTCACCCCTCCTTGAGGAGCTTGAATTTTAAAGATTTTTATTTTTTATTTTATTTTGACAGAGAGAGACACAGCGAGAGCGGGAGCACAAGCAGGGGGCGTGGGAGAGGGAGAAGCAGGCTTCCCGCGGAGCAGGGAGCCCGATGCGGGGCTCGATCCCAGGATCCTGGGACCATGACCTGAGCCGAAGCAAGACGCTTAACGACTGAGCCACCCAGGCGCCCCGAGGAGCTTGAATTTTAAAAAGAATCAAAGCCTGCAGGTAAAATGGAGATGCTGTACTGGTAGAATTTCAGGCAGTCATCGAAAGTGCAACAAGGGTTTTTCTTTTATGTGGACCCCTTCCCTGGGCTCTTGGCCTCAGTGCCAGCCACGGAACCCCAAAAAGGGGACCTCGGCGTCGGACGCTTTCGACTCGCTTCCTCCAAAGTTGCCCCGGTGTCTCTCAGACTCGGGGGAGCGGCTCTGTCCCCGGGACGGCCGAGCCCGCGCGCCGCCGCCAGAGGGCGCTGCGCAGTGGCCGGGCGCGTCGCGGCCGCCGGGCGTCGGGCCTGGCGTGGGCATTTTTGTGTGGTTTAAATACCAGCGTTTACTGCTCACTCTTTCCCCAAACATGTGTCTAATTTGCCCGGTATCTCTTCTACGTGAAAAACTTGAGAAGGAAAAAAAATTCATACTTAACTTTAGTTCCAGGGTCGGCGAAGGGGTTTGACACCAAATGCAGTTTTGTTCCAGAAACCTCGGAGCCTGGGGCCCGAGCAGCCAGCAAGGGCTCCCCAGACGCTGCCCCTGGGTGAGGACGGAGGCACTCAGAAACGAGCGCACCGAACCCAGCCCCTGGAAATGCTCTTGCTAACCAGCCGCAAGGCCGCAGGCTGGCCTCTCCAGGGGAGGACGGGTTTCGGGCCGGGCTCTGGAGCTGGTGTCCGCGGCCGGGCGGAGGGGCCACGCCGCACCCCGAGCTCCCGCGGGGTGTGCGGCGCTTGGGGGAGCGGGGCGCGCGGCCCGGGCTGCGAGGTTCCGCGGGGGGCGGGGAGGGGGGCAGCAGTGCGGGCGCAGGGCGAAGTCGGGGAGGCAGAGGGCAGGAGCTCCGGGACGAGAGCAGAGGGGGAGTCCTGTCTGCTGGGGGTGGCGGGGCCGGTTCCTCGGGCCCAGGTGGAAGCTGACAAGCCTGACCGCCACAAATAGAAGGCATGGGCGAAAAGACCCGAAGAGCTTTCTGACTGCTGGGAGGTCTCAGGCAGTTAAAGCTCCTAATCCCTGGGGCGGGAGCTGGGGTGAGGTTGGGGGGGTGGGGAGTGTCTTGATTGGCGGCTAGGTTCTGTTTTTGAGACCTGACAAAAAAAAACAAAACAAAACCCTGTCCCCTGGGGAGATTTCTCAGTCACTTTTCTCCTGCAGGAAGCTGCTTCTTGTTGGAGCCTCCTGGGATTGGCAGAGTTAAAATCCTTTAACCCAGGATGCCTTGGGCCTTTTGTTCAGCTTTGACAATGGAATTGGGTGGAGGGGGCTGGGAAGGCAAGTAGCTGGGTCCGGGTGTATCCATGGGGTGGGGGTCTGGTAAAGCTGTGTGCAGTCACTGGGTGAAAAAGCAATTTAGTCGTGTGTGTGTGTGTGTGTGTGTGTGTGTGTGTGTGTGTGGTGTGGTTGCGGGGAGGGTGTAAGGGAGCCCAAGGCATAGGGCACCAGCTCGTTAACACATGTGTGTGAGCACCTGCTGGGCACTCAGCAAACCCTTAATTACTCAGGGAGACCTTCCAAAACTGGGAACTCAATACTGGTCCCTAAAAGGTTGGGTAATGGGTTTTTCTTGCATCTGAAATCCGAGGGAATGGATCTCTGGCTCCCCTGGGCTCCCAGATTCTTCTAGATGTCTTTGTCTTCTAAAATTCTGTTCTCCCACAGGACAGCACTTAGTTAAGGACGCTCAGGAATGCATACCCTTCAACCATATTCATCATCTGAAAACTGTTGCTTTGAATATATCATGCCCTTGACTCATAATCCTCAGCAGCACCCACTAATTCAAGGGACTTGGAGTGACCACTTTCAAGCCCTCCCACCATGCAGACTTTTCTTCCCCAGCTCCCCAGGGGTGTTGTCCCCCAAGCCAGCCTGACCCCTCCCTTGGAAATGTCTTGAATTCTCCAGCCTCCCTGTGTGGCCCTGCAGTTGACTTCCTGGGATACCCTTCCCCTCTTCACCATCTAGGCAGTCATGTCCCTTCTCCATTCAGTTCTAGCATCAGTAGGTCAGCCAACATGCATTACTGAGAGTCCACTATGTGCAAAGCATGTTCTGGGCCTGGGGAATACATTAGAGATCAGGACAAATACCGGCCCGTGAGGATTTTATGTTCTAACGGGAGGGAAGAGAGTAGACACAAAGTCAAACAATTTCTCTTGTTGATAAGGACGACAGAGAAGCTAAACTAATGTGCTAGAGTAGGGATCTTGGAAGTGGAGTGGGGCTGATGGTGCTGCTTTGGTTAGACAGGGAAAGTCTCTGTGGAGGTGACTTTTGAGACTTTATGGATGGGGAGGAGGCAGCCCTGTGAAGATCTGGGGAAGAGTGCTCCAAGCAGGAGGAATAATGAGGGCAGAGCCCTGAGGCAGACATGCACTGGTTGTGTTCCAGAGACACCACGGAGACCACTGTCACTGGGACAGTGGGAACAAGGAGATTTGAGGGGCTCTGGGGACATAGGCAGGGGCTAGATCATCAGTCCCTGTGGGCCAAGGTAAGGAGTGTGAGTTTCGTTTTGGTTGCAATGGGAAGCTTTTGGAGCCTCTTAGCTGGGAGTGAACATATTTCATTTACCCTTTAGAAAGATCACTCTGGCTGCTTTGCAGAGCACGGTCTAGGAGCTGAGGAGAACAGTTGAGATGCGGTTGCAGAAGTCCTGGCAAGAAGAGATAAGACCAGGGTGGTGGCTGTAGAGATGGTGAGATGCAGTACTGATTTCTGGAGCAATTTTGGAGGTATGGTAGATAGGACTTACTGATGAGCTGACCTATGACAGAAGAGAGGAGTTAAGGATGACTCCTCCATTTTTAGGCTAACTGGATGGAAGGGATGCCCATGTTTGGGGGAAGAGGTGCCTCTGTAGTTCTGTTGTGGCCATGCCAAGAACTATCAGACATCAGCTGGACCTCTGGAGGGAGGTTTGGGGTCTGGAATTCACGGGTGTCTTGCCTTCAGACTTAAATTTGAGAACAAGCCTGTAGATGGTAGTCAAAGCTGTGGCCTGGATAATTCCACTTGAGGAAAGAGTAAAGACAGAAGAGAGAGGGCTGACACTGAAGCCATGCCAATGTTTAAGGATCTGGAAGAGGGAAACCAGCTGAGAGGACTTAAAAGAACAACCTGTGAAGTTGGGGGGAAAACCACAAGATTGGGTTATAAGGAAACTAAGTAAAGGAAGTATTTCAAGCAGGAGGATGTATTGGTCTGTTATTGCTGGGTAACAAACAGCTACAAAAATCTCAGTGGTGTATAACAGTAAATATTTCTTTTGCTCATGCATCTGTGGGTCATCTGGAGGTCAGCGAGATGTGATTGACCTTGGCTGAGCAGCTCTAAGCTGCAGTTGGGTCCGATTCTGTTCTATACACATGTCCCTTATCATCCTTGTACCAGCAGGGTGGTTAGGGCAGGTTTTTTCCCATGGGGATAGCATTGGCACAAGTAGGCAAGTAGAAACACAAGATGCCTCCTGCGGCCAAGGCTTAGAATTGGCACCATGGCACTTCCTCCCTATATTCCGTTGGCTGAAACAGGTTACGCCACCATGCCCAAAGTCAAGGGGCAAGAAAGCATACTCTGCCTCTAGTGGGAGCAACTGCAATATCACATAGAGAGAAATATGGACACGGGGCAGAGCGGCAAGAATTAGGACCACCCCAGGGTGGTCAAACCTGTTTAGTGCAACTGGAAGACTAGAGGAGACAACGGCCACAAGCTTGCCACTAGTCTAGTCAAAATGTGGGTCACTGGCCTTTTTAGTAAGAGCTATTACAACAGAATGGAAGGATAAAAGCCCCGTTGGAGTGGGTGGAGGTGAGAATGGGAGGCGAGGGAGAGGACTGTCAGTCTAGAGACGACTGTCTCAGGAACACTTGCTCTGCAGAGGGGCAGCAAAATAGAGTAGCTGGCAGGAAACATGAGGCTAAGGCTAATACATTTTTAAATTTAGGGAATTAAATCTTGTTTTATCGGGGCGCCTAGGTGGCTCAGTCGGTTAAACGTCTGCCTTTGGCTCAGGTCCTGATCCCAGGGGTCCTGGGATGGAGTCTCACATTGGG